AATAAAGGGCACTTTCTTGGACTCCTTGGAATGAATGTGACCCTTTCCTTCTGCATCATTCTGAAGCACAGTGATGCACACTGGTAAGAACACCGCGGGCTGGAGTATGGAATTAGCCTGGTTTCCTTTTTTATTTTCTAGCCATGATAGAAGGAAGCCCCCAGCTGAACATGGTCGGCCTCTTCCGACGAATCATTTCCAAAGAGGGGGTACCGGGACTTTACAGAGGCATCACCCCAAACTTCATGAAGGTGCTCCCGGCTGTAGGCATCAGCTATGTGGTTTATGAAAATATGAAACAAACTTTAGGAGTCATCCAGAAATGACATGTTGAACTTTTTTTTTTTTTGCTTTAGCACGATTACACTGAAATTCTCAATAATATCTAGAGGGACTTTTTCTCCTAGAATTGCAAGTCGATGGCAAAAGAAGTATTTTTTTCACAAAAGGGAAGAGCTTATCAATGATCATTTAAACATTTGGGCTCAATTTTCTATATACAGAAATGTTTTAAAAAATCATAGTTTTGATAAGCTCATCCAATTTTGAAAAATGCCAGAAAATTGAATTTTATCTCTTCTTCTTAGTCCGTTCTACAAATCCCTGCCCTGAGTCCTCAATCTGAAACATGAACCTGCTTGAACTAAATCTGTTTTGTGTGGTGGAATCATAAATCATCTTTATTTTTGGATGGTTCAAGTTTATGCCAGCTTCTTTATACTTGTCCTTTTCTTAAACACAAGATGATCAGAAAACCTCAACACTTAAGCTGTTTTATATATTTTGAATGTCTTTGTAGACTTCTTAACATTTCCTTGTAGACCTGTTAATAGAAAGTCATTGGGTTTCTAGCCTTACCTTCCTTTAAGCTGAATAAGAATGAACATAAGTGGCTGGATTTCAAGGCATGGGAATACCCTCGTCTATTGCTATCATTTTTGTAAAGGAGTGATGAAATCATACTTATTCTGCGGGCCTTTTTCTCTTTTCCTTGCACTGTGATTTGGTTCCTGAGAGGACATATTGTCAGCATATTGCTGTTACGTTATCAACACAAGGCAACTTATTTGAAGGGTTCTGTTTATATTCTGTCTTGGCTTTGAAAAGTACCAGGAAACAAAACATTTTTATGGAGATCAGCTTTTGAAGAGCGTCTCTCTCTTTTTCGTCCTTTGTTTCCTACTTGAATCAGATCTACCTGGGAAGGTCTCTGGGGACCATTCTTGGTCATCTGAAATGTCTTCATTACATGAAGTGGGTTGATCCCGGGTGAGTGACATTCCCTGTCCTCCCTCCCTGTTGAATTTCTTTGAACCTGCAATTCTCCACGTGGGCAGCACAAACCTAAGGGAATAGTACATAATAGTAGTAGCAAATATCTTCTATATTAGGTACTTATATTTAAACAAAAGGCCCAATTTATGAACATACACATTCATAATCTCTCTTGCCCCAAGTTTTAGAACATGTTATGATATAGAAAACTTAATTTTTAATATTGATAGCATGTTTTTATTAGAGCTATTCTTTTTGTAGTTAACTATCTTTTCTGACTTATGTGATTAGGAGTTAGAATAACATTAGTTGAAGTTATTCTTACCATTTTTTAAAATTTAGTTTCTAAACTTGTTTGATTTCTAGTAATTGCTGTTATAAATTGCCAACATTTTAGAGAAAAGCTAGTGACATAATAGACATTTACTTTCTTTGAATCTACCTCTTGTATTTTATGAACCAAAGAGAAATGTTGGACTTGTCTTTGTGAAACATTTCAAAATATAGTTTTCATTATATGAGTTATGACTGATACATGTCTCAGTATTTTTATAATACATATAAAGCATGGGACTCTATCCTTTGGGTGGTTTGTTCTTTCGAGTAATACATAAATTATAATAAGGTACATGATTAGCTCTTTTATGCTCATAAAAAATTATGGAATGGACAACTGACATTTCAAGCTACTGAAAAATTATCATTGTTCATTATGAATTTAAATTGTGTGCTATTTAACATTTGTAAGGAGTGAATGTGATTTATCTGTGCATCTTGTATCTTTTGAAACAGTGATCTTGTATCTTTTGAAAAGAGCCCGGAGTTGAAGATAGATTATTTCTGGCATTGGTGAATATTTACTTTCCATTTATATTAAAAAAAATATGTATTTGTTTTTAAAATGACTTGTTTCCTTATTTTAAAAAAACAGTATAACTGAAGCAAAAAGCAATGGCTGTGTCTCCTCTGGCCCATGTGGCGCAGTTAGTTGAGTGTCGTCCCATACACCAAACGGTTGCGGGTTCCATTCCAGGTCAGGGTTCGAGTCCCGGTTGTGGGCTTGATCCAGGTGGGCAGTATGCAGGAGGGTTCGAGTCCCGGTTGTGGGCTTGATCCAGGTGGGCAGCATGCAGGAGGCAGCCGATCCGATGTCTCGCTCTCACCGATATTTCTCTTTCTCTCTCCCTCTCCCTTCCTGTCTAAAAAATAAATAAATAAATAAAACCTTAAAAAAAAAAAAAGCTGTGTCATACAGCTTACATCACTGGCAGTGGTTTGAAAAATACTTTTCATGTCTTTATGAGTCTTAACAAACACTTAGGCCTTTCCTGAACAGCCACAGTAGTTACTGTCTGTAGCGTACATTTCGACATAAATTACGTTTCTCTGGATGTCCAAGTCCCACATTTACCGAGTAGGGTCCCACCCTGTGGGTGCAGTGCCACCTCCTGGTGGCCTCTCAGCTTGTTCTCCCGTCTGCACATCAGGCCACACGTGTGACCGCGGCTCAGCGGTGGAGTCCACTGTGAACCAGGAGGTCAGGTTGGATTCCCCGCAGGGCACGCGCTCAGGTTTCGGGCTCCATCCCCGGTAGGGGGCGCGCAGGAAGCAGCCGACCATTGGTTCTCTCTCATCATTGATGTCTCTCCCCCTCTCCCTCTCCCTCTGAAATCAATTAAAAGTATACATATATACTGTGTATATGGCATGGTTTCCCTTTCCCTAAACAGGAATTTTGCGTGGAACACCTGTTCCCACGAGGATTTGCTACGTGACACAGCCCTTCACGTGGCACTACCGCTTGAGGAGGAGTCTGTGGGCGCAGCTGGGTGGTTTCATGCCCAGGAAGGCGCCCGCTGCGTCTCGGGGTGGAGACTGCGTGTTGGGAATTCTCCGGGGAGCAAGCCCGGGCCCGGGCCGCCTTGGTAGGAGCAGTTCTGATGCCCAGGGGGCCGGGCACCAAACCTCCAGCATGGCCGTCTCCCTTGCCCGCAGCTTCACGGTCGACGTTTCTGTTACCCGCGGTCAATGGGGTAGGAAAATATTAAGTGGAAAAATTCCAGAAATAAGCCATAAATTTTAAGCCCACTTGGTGCGGAGGAGTGTGATGCAATCTCGCGCTTTCTCCGCAGGACCTGAACCAGCCCTTCGTCAGCAGCTCCATGCTGCGTACGTGCCCCACATTAGCTACCGGCTCCCGCGTTAGTTGCGTGCTCATGTTAGTTACGTGCCCGCGTTGGTGCGTGCCCACGTTAGTTGCGTGCCCGCGTTAGTGCGTAAAATAATACCAGCAAGTCAAACGCACCCCAAAACTTGTTTGTGTCCTTCTCTCTTAGGATTTTTTTTTAGAAGGTGTTTTCATTGATTTGCGTGGCGCTGTACTTGACATGTTTGTTTTTTAAAAGAATACAATGTAGGTTTCAGATGGAGCTTGCCGGCCTTCGGGAATCATCCGAGTCAGAGGAAGGACTTGGCGGGAAAGTCAGGCAACTCAGTCTGTCTGAATGAATTCGGGGCGCCCTTTCCTCCGGCGAACGAGGTTTGCTGAGTTTGTTTTTTTAAATATATTTTTATTTATTTCAGAGAGGAAGGGAGAAGGAGAGAAAGACAGAAGCATCAAGGATGAGAGAGAATCATTGATCTTGATCGGCTGCCTCCCGGGGACTGAGCCTGCAACCCAGGCATGTGCCCTTGACCAGAATCGAACCCAGGACCCTTCAGTCCGCAGGCCGACGCTCTCTCCACTGAGCCAAACCGGCCAGGGCGGTTTGCTGAGTTTTTATTCCACGGTTCCGCCGCCGCTTTAGGACACATGTTTTACCAGCGAGCATTGCCGGAGTCAGGCCGTCGGCGCTGTGATTGCACCCATCCCGGCGGACGCACACATTCTGATCGGAGAGAAACAGACATGGGCGCCCTCCCCGGCCTCGCACCTGCTCCCGGTGTCGGTCCATCAGCTTTGCCTCCAGCGGTCCCCCTCCCCCCCCCGCCCCCAGTTTGTCAGCGTGTTGGAGGGCGGCACAGGCCGCCTGCACACCTGTCCGTGTCCGTCCGAGTGCCTGGGGAGAAAGCAGAAGGGGAGCCAAGGCCATACAAGGGGCCTTAGAGGACAGCCAGGCTCTCAGCCCTGCCCGCACGGGGACAGGCTCTCCAGCTCGTCCCTCCAGGGCCACCGCCGAGGGTCTGCGCCGGGAAGGAAGCCCAGGGCGGACCCAGCGCCGAGGTCCGGGGACATCTGGGCCGATTCTGAGCCAGCGCGAGGTTTAAAAACAGCCACAATGAGCGTTCAGGACAAGTGAAAGCAATTGTTATAAAAGCGAGAAAGAGAAGACTAGGAAAGTGCAGATGGGAATGATAAGGAGACCGGAGCGTGTCTTGGCTGATGCCCAGTTTTATTTTCACCCGGAGGATGTTGTTGTTTGCGTGTGACACTGAGGATGGCGTAGGTTTGACTCAGGACGGACGGGAGGATGGGCTTGTCCTTCCTCGAGCCGGGAAGCCGGCCGGGCTGAGCGGGCGGGCGGGCCGCTGGGTTTGGGACGTGGACACTGGAGATGTCCGTGCTATGAGAAGGCAGATCTGGGACTGGGGGGGTGGGGGGGGTCCGGGCTAGACACGTGCACTTGGCGCCGTCAGCTCGGAGAGGACGGACAGCCTGGTAGGTGCGACCGAAGGAGCGAGTGGAGGCGACGCGGAGATGAGGGTGCGCCCCTCCAGTGGGAACTAGGAGAAGGGGGTGCGCCCCTCGTCAGAGGTCAGAGGTCAGAGGGTCACAGGGCAGCAGGGAGGGAGGCACAGCCTGAGCGAGAACGTGCAGTTCCTGCTCTCGGAGCTCAGTCCTTTGGAAAGACCGACAGGAGCAGGTTCAGTGTGAAGCGCTGAGTGCTGTGGCCGAGTTTGCTCAGCGACGGGGGAGATGACTGAGGGGTGTGCTGGGCGGGCGGGAGGGCTTGTGTTGGAGGTGGGTCCAGCCCACGGCCAGGCCTGCTCGCTCGTCTTTCCTGCTGTGTCCCAGGTCAAGGAGGCTATTTGGCACGTGGTGCTCGGTAAATATTTGTGGGGGAAGCGAGGAGGGAGGAGGGACGAGCGTCCTGATTGGGTGGTGGACGCAGGATGTCGGAGGGGCAGGTCCGGGCACGGCGATGCCTGTCTTCTGCCCCTGCCCCTCGCCCGGCGGAGGTTGAGTCATCACAGTGCCCGTTAGGAGCTGGAGGAGGAAGGAAGCGCCAAACGCCGGCATCACCAACGCTGAGGGCGTGCGAGTTTCAAAAGGGAAGGACTGGCCACCCCGTCATGGGGCGTCCGGCAAGGACAACGCCCTGGGGTGTCGCCAGGTCTGAGATCAGGAGCGACTGTGAGCACCGGTCCCTGCAGGGGGCCCGGGCGCGAGGGGAAGAGGCCGGAGGGCAGACAGTCCTTCCGAGGGTTGAGCTGCGCAGGGAAGAGGGGAGCAGGGAGAGCCTGGGGCAGGCAGGCCCGAGGCAGGCTGGGAGTTTTGTTTTTGTTTTTAAGGGTGGCAGGTTTATTAAATTAAAAAAAATCTGCACAGGGAGAAGGTGAAGCCAGGAGGGAGAGGTAGAATAAAGGAGGCGGGTTTGATTAGGGACAATTAAAATGTAGGTCTGTTCTTTAGTTTGTTTTGTTGTTTTAGAGAGTAAGGGAGAGAAGGAGAGAGAGAAGCATCAATGTGAGAGAGACACATCGATGGGTTGCCTCTCACTCCCCCCCGCAATCTGGGCCAGAATTGAACCTGCCACCCAGGGATGTGCCCTTGACCGGGAGTCAAACCGAGACCCTTTGGTGCACAGACCGATGCTCTAACCACTGAGCACACAGGCTGGGGCTGTAGGTCCGTTTTCTAGTTTTAAATTTGAAACCTGAATTTTACGCGATTGACTCGGTGTTGGTAAGGGAAGGCGTGCGGGCTGAGGAGGGGTGCTGGAGGGAGGATGGCGAACCTGGTTCTCCTTTGATCTTCACTTGCCACCTGGCGGGAGCTTCCCCGGCTCTTGACTGGCCTGTGCCTTCGTTTCGCCTCTTTCAGCCGTAAAACTCCGCGACTCACAGCGCTACCGGTTTGGGGACATAAATAAACCCAGTCAGACTTCTCCCCAAGTTCAGGCGCTTCACACTTTACTTCGGCATTTGTTTGACATGATCGTTACGAATAAGTGAGGCAGTAGGCGAGAAAGAACTTCGGAGACTTAAGTAAAACAGCTAAATTTCTATTGCTTTCTCTCTTTTTTAAAAACATATTTTATTGGTTTTTTTACAGAGAGGGAGAGGGATAGAGAGTTAGAAACATCGACGAGAGAGAAACATCGATCAGCTGCCTCCTGCACACCCCCTACTGGGGATGTGCCCGCAACCAAGGTACATGCCCTTGACCGGAATCGAACCTGGGACCCTTGAGTCCACAGGCCGACGCTCTATCCACTGAGCCAAACTGGTTAGGGCCTAAATTTCTATTTCTAAAAAATCATGCTAATATTCTTTATTTTAATTTTTTTTTAAATCCTCACCTGAGGATATCCCATTGATTTTTAGAGAGAGTGGAAGAGAGAGGGAAAGACAGAGAGAAACATCGATGTGAGAGAGACACATCGATTGGTTGCTTCCTGCACAGCCCAACCAGGGCCCCGGGGCACGGGAAGAGCCTGCAACCCAAGGACCTGCCTTGGCTGGAATCGAACCCGGGACCCTTGGTCCATAGGCCGACTGAGCTAAACTGGCGAGGGCCATGCTAATATTCTTGACTGAGAGACCTCACATGTCTCCCCCCCCACACACACACTTTTTTGTTTGTTTTTATTACCCCAGAGTATAAATCTCAGCAGGAGGGGAAACACAATTAAGTTAGCTCCTTATCAAAGGTTTCCTTGCCCAGGTACAAACCGCTCAG